ATTTTCTTATTTTCTAGAATTTAATTTATCTTTCCCAAGTAAGAACCTCCTTGTTCAACTAACTTGATTTCTCTATATCTTTTTTCTTGTGTATTCCCTTCGTTTTTTCTCGTCAGGCTTGTACCTTTTTTCTCTTCATTTCTTATAATATCTTATTTTTCATTTCATCTTTCATTTTTTTTTTTTTCTTCATTGCCTTTTCTCCTCAGTCTTGCTTTTTATCTTAAATCAAATGACTCTAGATACTATATGAAAAATCTTTTTATCAAGTGTGTTTGAAGATTGGTAACTTCATCAAAATAAAAAGTTACTTGATAAAAACATATCATAAACTTTATACATATCCCAATTAATTCAAATGAAGTCTCAACTGTTAAATTTTAAAAATTTATAAATTTAGTTCTTTATTTTACAATTTTATTGTGATAAATTTATAATTTTGTTTTTAAAGTTTAACATCATTAAAAAATAAATAATTATTTTTATTCTTCAATCATGTTAAAATTTAAAAAAATAAATTCAAATTTATTATAATAAAATTATAAATTAATGAAGGAATTTAGAATTGATTTTTAGTTTAATGTTTAGAATCTCATTTTAATCAATTAATTTTTTTAAAAAACTTATCTGTCATTCTCTTTTTCATGATTTAACTTTCTAACTACCGTGTGACTTTTTTCTTTAGTGTCGTGGATCGGGAGACTCAGACATTTTGGTTAAAAGAGAAAAAAAGAGAGAAAGGAAAATTAAACATTATATATATTCTTATACGATTTTTCGTTTCTTTTCCCCCAATGAAGTCCTTACACTTGATCATTGGTCCTTTCATCTAGAATCAATCCACCTTAACCGGAAATCCGACAACAATCATCCAGTCACGGAGTACCTGCAATGACAAGGCTGACTCTTTTTTTCAAAGCTTATCAACTTTTTTCTGAAAATAATTTAGCTAAGATTATTGATATGACAAAGGTGGCTATTGAGGTAAAAAATATCAATCAAATGTTTTGATCATAACAAAATTTAAAAAAAAATATTTATTATTTATGCAAATTGAGTATCATGAATCAAGTGATAAATCTCAAAAAAAAAAAAAAAAGAGTATGCATGAAGAATATTTAAAGAAATTATCTCAAGAATAGTACACATGAAGAAATGAAAGTGAGCATGAAAAAAAAGAACAAAGTTGTAACATGCATACTACACTCAAAAGAAAGAAAAAGAGTCAAGGAAAAAATAGAACTGACATAGGTTTATATTTATTTTATTCTTCCATTAAATAAATTTATGAAAACTAATTGAGAGCTTAAATATAAAGTAAAATTGTATCATATAGAAAGTAATAAGCTCATAAGTCCTTTAGTCTTCAAAAGTCTTATCCACTCAAGGACAAGAAATATCCATGCGTATTTGACACATATTTGCATGCACTCATGATTTACATTGCTCCATCCATGCTTTGATTGTAAGTGTCCCACGCATGTTTGGTTATTCCTTGTGCATATAGACAACTTAGGGGATCTCATTCAAACTCGAACTATAACTAAACTTTGCTTGAATTAGAATATCAGAAGTGGAGATATAGCACTGCATGCTAGTTCACACTTAAACATACTTGTATCCACGCTTGATTGGCAGTGTGGAGAAATGTCATAAATAAGCTTATGTAATCTGATTCATGCTTGGATGTTATTTTTGTCCACACTTGATTGATCCTAAGTGGCAGCTTGAAGAGTGTCTCCATGCTTGGATTCTGTTGAGTCCAGGCTTGAATGAATAAAACACTTATTAAACTTCAAGTTTGACTTAGAGTGAACATTAGCACTGAACAAGCTATTCAAGCTTGATTCAGACGTGCCCAACCATGTTTCACACCATAGTGAGGCAAAATGCCTTTGTACACTCATTCACACTTTGATTAGAAGTTAACCGCACATGTTTTAGGCTTATTATGAAGCAACGTGCTTCAACCTTCATCAAACATACTTGAACCAAAATTGGTCCATGCTTGGATCAAGTGAAGTGATATGAGACCTAAAAGGGAAGTTAACTCATCCACACTTGGATCATGCCTGTTCACACGTGAATGAGAGTTTTGACAACATTGAATGCATGTCGTAGAAAAAGTGCTTTATTTGTCTTAGACACTTCAGAACATCTCTAACGGGAAATTGCTATAATCTGTCTCCAATGGTCCAAAAAACATTGTTCTATATATAAGACTTTATTTAAATGAGCGGCTAATAACATTGAATGAGTATTTAATGTCTTGCATTAAATTCTTATTTGTTATTCTATGAAAAAAACTCTCAAGTAGTTTGTCAATTTTCATTGTTTTATATTTGCTCTTTTTTTAGAGTATCTGTTGTGAAAAGCTATCTCATTTAGCTCTTTGAAATGTTATAAACATTTTTCTAAACATGATTCTAATAACTTACTTGCGTAAATAAGTGTGTTGTTGAAAATCAAGACTGATTTTGTCTTGTGGTTTTGTCCTATAATAGCAAATACCTATTAAAGCTTATGTTTGTAGTGAAAAATCTTAAATATGATCTTGAGGGCTGAAAATTGGCCCAATGGTAGGTTAAACTAAGGTAAGTCATTTGTATCTACTATTCTATTTATTCAAAAATTCATTTCTTACTCACTAATTTATTGTAAAACTGTTCTAAACTTTGCATCATTCTTCTAGTTGGGAAAAATTTTTAAGAAAATTTTAAGAACATCCAATTTACCCCCCTTAGGTGCTAGCCTGATTCTACACTTATTTCATACTTAAATTAATTTATTGCTAACTAAAAATAATATTATTGAAAAGTATTAATCTCGTTTGAAAATTCATCTATTTTAAATTTGGACTAAATTATTGGTAGTATGGCTCCTAAAAATATGCACGGTCAATATAAAATTTGCATAACACACCACTAATGGAAAGCATTAATCTCACTTGAACAATTTAGAATTAATGGTCATTTTCCCCCCTCAAATTTATCTAAAAGGTTACTAGACACCCTAAACTTAATGATGTGTCAATTTCATTAATCAACATTAAAGTAAAGATTCCCTCTCTCGTCATCCTACCATTTTCTCATTGTATTTTCATTGTTAGAGGCCTCATATTCCATTTTTTATTTTTTTTTATTATACAATAAATTTAAAGGTCATTTTTGCCCCTCAACTTCATCCAAAAGATCATTGGGCACCCTAATTATAAACTTAACTATAGGTCAATTCTATCCCTTAATATTAAAAATTTTCTCCTTCATTAATCTGTCATTTTCTCATTGTCTGTTTTATCGTTAGTGGGTCCCACATTACATTTTTTAAATATTTTATTATAAAATATTTGAGATTAAGATGCCTACTGACCCTTTAGAGTAAGTTGAGGAGCAAAATGACATTTAACCCAATATTTTATAATAAAAAATTTAAAAAAGTGCAATGTGGGCTACTAATGATGAAGAAACAACGAGTTAATGGCAAGGTGATGAGGGAGGAAAATCTTTAATCTTGAAAGATATAATTGATCTATAGTTAAGCCTAGGGTGTCTAATGACCCTTCAGGCAAAATTGAGAAACAAAAATAACTCTTAACTCTATAAAATATTTGAGTTCAAAGTACCCGCTGACCTTTTGAAATAAAATTGAGGGGCAAAAATAACGACAAACCCAATATTTTATAATAAAAAAATCAAAAATGCAATATGGGGCTACTAACGTCTAATGGTGGATAAATGACAAGTTAATGTTAAGTTGATGAGTAAGAGAATTTTTAACATTGAGATATAAATTTGACTCACAGTTAAGTTTAAAATACCCAATGACCCTTCAAGAAAAGTTAAGGGGCAAAAATTACTCTGAACCTAAAAATTTTTATTTTTTATAAAGGGAATTTTCAAATGAGGTTAGACTTTCAAATGATCTGTAGGCACCTTATGTATTTTCAATATTTTATTTTTTAGTTACCAACAATCAATATATAATATATAACAGTTCCAAAACTTAATGCTTATGAACAGTAAAATGGGGGTATTTACGGCATTTCCAAGAGAGCTGAAATATGTCTTCCTTCGCAGCTTACAAAAAAGCAAAGGGGCTGATGGGCATTTTTGGTGTTTTACTTGCTATGGGTGAAGTCACCTCAATATGTACGATAAAGTGAGGATGCAAAGTTTTATCCATTGAATTATACCAATATACATTGTGTAAAGAAAATCTCCAATATTTGAGAGTATTTGACACTACCCACTGTTTGAATCGTGCAGCTCACTTTGACGTCTCCATTCACTACCCTTTCTCTCTCTTGGCAAGATTCTCCCTAATTTACTCTGCTTCCACCAACCCTACGGTGCCCTTCTCTTTCAATCGGTCAGAAATGTCACTCTAAAATAGTTTTTGGGAGCCTCCTGCATGATTATCCTAACTCGATGGAAGCCTTGAAGCTGTCTTGAGATTGTTTTTCTATTCGGCCGTCGCTCGTTCCATCTTCTTCTCGAACTCGTCCTAGGGTTGTATCTTGCAGTCTAAAAGCTGGGTGAAGTTAATGTATTTACTGGTATATGATGTATTTTCTCTTGATTTATTTGCATGTTTTTTTACTTAGTTATTATAACAATTTCTGTCCTTATTTGCTGGTCTTATAGTTCAACACAATCTAACCATACCCCCTGATTAGGACATCTGCTCACTTTTTTTTTAATACAAAGGCCATATATTTTTTTGTATTTAATCCTTCTCTATTTTCCCTTTGTCTAACCCAGAATGGATGCCTATAACGTTAATGCATTAGACAAAAATCATTTTGTTCTACTCAACAATCTTGATCGAACCAAGATAACCTGGCATATACTCATCAAAGTAGATCAGATGTATGCTTGTGTTGGCCAAGAAGTCTATGAGCTCGATCTTGGTTATCCGAAGTGAGCACGATCTATCAACCTAATGGTATTTGATTTATAGGTGACAATACTTATGATTTTTTTTTGAAACATATATTAACTCATACTCTATTGCAACCTGAACTTTGCCTTACAACACTCTATCTTTCCTTTTTATCACTTAAGGATACTCCAATGGAAATGTTAATAGTTGGCCAGACATAAAGTAAGATATAACTTAATATTTTGGTTCTATACTTCATGTTTTTTTCAAACTTTATTCTTAAACCATGATCAAGTTAATGTTTAATGGTTTCTCCACATACTTGAAATAGTATGCGGAAAGTAAATTACTTATTATAACATTTTGCTATCTTGGATGTTCTTTCCATGCATGAATCTTAATGATGAATCAAACAAAAGTTTGGCCATCTCTAGGTAGTTCTTAACTTTACACTACCTATCGTGAAATAACTTTTCATCCCTTTTCCTTATCATTTCATTGCCTGTTGTAATAGCTTAATCTGCATTGTTCTTATTGCAGCTTTTAGTGTAGAAAGAGTTTCATTATTTTGGCCTTTCCAATAGCAGGCCACCTTCTATTTTCATATTTCCTTGCTGTATGATGCTTCAATACATGTATTGCCAGTTTCTAAAGTAATCATGTATTGCCACTGATATCTTTGGAATGTGTGAATATTTTATTTTTACACTCCTCAATGTCTTTATTCATATCCTTTACGTGTTTGTACAGAAAAAGGTTAAAACTCACTCTTCTTTACTATATACAACATCCATTGCTCTATCATATCCATTCCAAATATCTATTCAAAATCAATGGTCAACTTCTTTTAAATGTTTCGTCCTATCACTGAAAGATGCCCAAATACTCAGGACACACAATCTTTTTCCATTTCGTGATACCCCTGCTGTTTCATGCTTCAATAGATGTATTGTCAGCTACCATATTTGTGCATAAATATGATAACATGATAAATTACTTATTATAACATTTTGCTGTCCTTATTTTTTGGTATATCATGATACAATATCTTTTTAAAAAATTGTTGTTAAAAGTTATAAATCTTTTTCTTTGCTTAACCAAAATACTTGCTTATTTCCTTTAATTTCCAATATTGATTTATATTTCTTTTCATGGCTCACAAAGTCGAGACATGATGAATTGTCTTTTAAAAGGAGATTCTGCTGTGGATGCTTGGACAACATATCAGTCATATAAGTATGCTGTTATTTTTAAACTGCCTGGTAATTTGTACTATCTTTTTAAATATAGAACATCTAATGCTTTATCATATTCGTTCCAAATATCTCTTTTACAACCATGGTCAACTTTTAAATATATGTTGTGCCTTCTTTATGCATCCATTCTAAACTTTAAAGATAATGTCACCTGCTTTTTAAAAAGAGATTCCACATATGCTTCTTCGTTCCTGCACTTCTTCTATTTGGACATCATTTGCATGTGTAAATTCCTAAAATGAATTAAAAGAATAAGGACCAGACTGTTTGTGTGTTTTCCCTTCATGGATACATGTACTAATAACAATACACGTATTTTCCTTTAATTATTGATATACCCACATGTGTCTTATACAAATCACCTTAAATATGTTTACTATGAGTATTTAATATTTATCCCAGGCAGAGATTTCCTTCAGGAGTTCAAAAATGTTGCCAAAGTCCGCTGGTACACCAACCTTGGACATGCTGACCTTGCTGGCAGCAGCTTATAAATGTTAACAGATGGTTTTGGGGATCCAAGACCATTGTAGGTTGTTGGTAGAGATGTTTTGTAATCCTATGACATTTTTAACTTTTATATCTTTGTGTATGAAGATCAGAGTACTTATAGTCTTTTCTTAAGATCAATGTATTATGTCTTTTATAAATAATGTACTTTTATTGAGTTCATTGATAAATGAACGAAATTGGTTGACACATGTTATGTTTTAATTTTGTCCTTTAACACTAACATAAACCTCACAAGAACTCTAATTAAACAATCATTATTGTTTTTTTCATAAGGGATTCGTCCTATATTGGTGGACTTAAATTATTATTATTATTATTATATTGATAATTAAATCATACAGTTATTGTATAATAATGGTAGTTTTTGCAAGTTTATAATTCTGTTTGTAGTTGTTTTATATCATTACGTCGATGTTTGCTTATACAAGTTCCAAATACATAGTATTATCTAACACGGATTATATCAGTGTTAGATAACACGCTTTAGTGTAACATTAAGTTTGAAAGTTTAGGTGCCAAAAATCTTTTCATTACTTAGAAAGTAGATGGTGATGAACAGTTTAATGGGGTTATTCCTGGTAATTTTTAGTAGTTATATGTAATGATATGTAATTGTTTACTTTTAACTTGTAGTGTATGAAGAACACAGTAATTATTACACTCCTAAATCTTTCAACTTGAAGTCATTCACCTAATAAAGATTCCAATGGCATTATCTTTCTTATTATAAATTTATAATTTGTATAATTGCATAATAATCACAAATTTTATAAGGTCATATTTTTGCATGTATATCTTCTTATACTAGATTGCTCCTTCTTCCTTATGTGACTGCCAAGTCCAATGTGTTACAGATTCCAAAAAGTTATGTGTGTGTTGTGTTTAGCACGTATAATCTCCAAGATCAATGTATTCTTATACTTCTTCTATATGACAAGGTTTGATCCACATTATAGTTTCTATAAATGCAATGTGGATTTTGTTGACAATTATTTTTTTATTGTATCTTATTATACTATTGCAAATTATTCAGGATGACATATTTGGCAGTCAAAGTCAATAATTCTCTGCTCAGTATGTTTTTGTCATCATGTGGAAAGGGCAATGTTTACCAGGTATGATGCCATATAAATGGCTATTGCAACATGCTTTTGTTAAAAGTATCAACTCATCATAAACTTTTTATTTCCAAACCTATTGTATAATTTAACGCGTGTTTACAAGTTCAGAAGTATCCCCATGTCATATCATTGCTCATTCTTAATGACAATTCATTGACTTCAATCTTCTGTTTAAATTTATATTATGAAATAAATAATGCATTCAAGTTCTCTCAGTTTTTAGTTATACAATGTCTTGTCCTTTATGTGTATCTCGAGTATTTAAATGTTTCACCATGCATGTTAGTCATAATTTCTCTATTGCTTGGTTGTTTTTTATATTTAACTCATGGGCTTTAATGTATTGCACTTATTCATCTCATTTTTTTATATAAAGATGTGATAATTACCTTACATATCCACTAAATGTGCGATATAATCAAGATAACTCCAATTACATGTCATACTCACTATTACCCTAATCATCAAAACTCACACTACATAGTCTGTTTTTCCATTAACCTACTAGGATGATACCCATTACATAAATATAATCTTCAAAGTAGGTAGTTCTTGAGCTCACTTGCACTTCGTCCGTCACTATAATGGGTCCACAGCACACTCGTATACATGTTATCCCGCAATCTCTCCATCCTTGAATGAGTGCATTCAACTCATGCTCTAAGAAACAAACGTAATGGCTCATAATCAGTTGTTTTGATATAGCATGTGTTATGAATCTTCAAATGAGCATGTTGGAGGTTTGGCATATTTATAGTCAAAGATATTAGTTGGGAAAATAATAAAACATCAGCCATTCATTTCGGTTTACCTTTTTAAGGGGGGCAATTCATCTTTTTACCTATTATGTAAAAGTAATATACCGGTCGAATACCAATGAAGAGATATTTTTAACTTTAAATGAGTGTGCTGGAGGTATCACCTATTTATAACCAAAGATATTAGAGTTTGATTGTATACTAATTAAATATTTAACATTGATTTCATTCTACATCCATTACAATCTTTATCTGAGTCTGTTTGTTTTCACATATTTATTAATGTTCTTGGAATTTTGTGTTAACTGCGAATAGTCATCCTGTGATTATTCTGCTACAAATCTTGGTTAAAGTGATGGATGAATGTGATATTTTGTTTTCATTGCTCATTAAATGCCTACATGTACCAGAACTCAGATCTTTTTGTTAAAGCTGTTTCAGTAGTTCTTTAGAGGTCAAATCATATTAATAAGAATATCTGAATTAAACACATTATAGCAACCTTCCTTATTTGTGTATATCACGTTTTTTTCTAGCATAAATCCAAATGAGAAAGAACAGTGATACCTGTCATGCTTCTAATTTAATCAAGGCCAATTGCCTGGTTTAATATTATTTTTTTAAATATCACTATTATCTAGATATCCCTTTAAAATGCTTTTTTAAAAAGCACAGCTTTTTCAGTATACCTTGGAATGTGTGAATATTATATATTTACATTCATGAGTGTGTTTTCTCCCACGTCCTTGACAAGTCACAATCATGAAAAAGTTAAAATCTACTCTTATTAATATCTACAACACCTGCTGCTCTATCATATCCATTCTAAATATCTATTTTAAATCCATGGGCAACTTTTTAATATATGTTCGGCCTTCTCTATATATCTTTTTTTAACTTCAAATCTAGAGTCAGCTGCTTTTTCAAAAACACAGCTTTTATAGATATACTTTCAAAATCTGAGTTTCTGTACAGGTATTCCCAGCTTCTAGATTTGTGCATTCATTAAATTTTGAAGTCCTTTGCGTCTGATAATCCCTGCTGTGAATTAAAAAAAAGATTGGCCTCTTCTAGGTATCCTTGTAAACCTAGGTTCACCTGCTTCTTAAAAACCACAGTTTTTACAGATTTACTTGGATTGTATGAATTTTTTTTCCCAAGAAAATAGTGTGTTTTCTCCCACACAGTTACATGTTTGCAAAGGACAAATGTAAAACGTACTCTTATTAATATATAAAACATCTCATGCTCTATCATTTCCATTCTAAATATCTATTCAAAATCATTGGTCAAAATTTAGTGAATGTTTTGTCCTATCATTAAAAGAAGGCCAAATATTCTGGACACATTATCTATTTACATAAGATTAAAACCCTGCTGTACGATGCTTCAATACATGTATGGCTAGCTTCTAAGGTAGTCATATATTCCATTTGGAAGTCCTTTGCATGTCTAAATCCTTAAGATGAGTCAAAACAAAAGTCTGGCCTTCTTTAAGTATCCTTTCAAACCTAAGGTCAGCTGCTTTTTAAAAAACATAGCTTTCACTGATATCTTTGGAATGTGTGAATATTTTATTTTTACACTCCTCAATGTCTTTATTCATATCCTTTACATGTCTGTACAGAAAAAAGGTTAAAACCCACTCTTCTTTACTATATACAACATCTACTGCTCTATCATATTCATTCCAAATATCTATTTAAAATCAATGGTTAACTTCTTTTAAATATTTTGTCCTATCACTGAAAGATGCCCAAATACTCAGGACACACAATCTTTTTCCATTACATGATACCCCTGTTGTTTCATGCTTCAATGGATGTATTGTCAGGTAACATATTTGTGTATAGATTCCATTTGGATGTTCTTTCCATGCATGAATCTTAATGACGAATCAAACAAAAGTTTGGCCTTCTCTAGGTAGTTCTTAACTTTACACTACCTATCGTGAAATAACTTTTCATCCCTTTTCCTTATCATTCCATTGCCTGTTGTAATAGCTTAATCTGCATTGTTCTTATTGCCGCTTTTAGTGTAGAAAGAGTTTCATTATTTTGGCCTTTCCAATAGCAGGCCACCTTCTATTTTCATATTTCCTTGCTGTATGATGCTTCAATACATGTATTGCCAGTTTAAGATTCCATTTGGATGTTCTTTCCATGCATGAATCTTAATGACGAATCAAACAAAAGTTTGGCCTTCTCTAGGTAGTTCTTAACTTTACACTACCTATCGTGAAATAACTTTTCATCCTTTTTCCTTATCATTCCATTGCCTGTTGTAATAGCTTAATCTGCATTGTTCTTATTGCAGCTTTTAGTGTAGAAAGAGTTTCATTATTTTGGCCTTTCCAATAGCAGGCCACCTTCTATTTTCATATTTCCCTGCTGCATGATGCTTCAATACATGTATTGCCAGTTTCTAAAGTAATCATGTATTCCATTTAGAAGTCCTTTGCATGTCTAAATCCCTAAGTTGAGTCAAAACAGAAGTTTGGCTTTCTCTAGGTATCCTTTCAAACCTAAGGCTAGCTGCTTTTTAAGAAACACAGCTCCCACTGATATCTTTGGAATGTGTGAATATTTTATTTTTACACTCCTCAATGTCTTTATTCATATCCTTTACGTGTTTGTACAGAAAAAGGTTAAAACTCACTCTTCTTTACTATATACAACATCCATTGCTCTATCATATCCATTCTAAATATCTTTTCAAAATCAATGGTCAACTTCTTTTAAATGTTTTGTCCTATCACTGAAAGATGCCTAAATACTCAGGACACACAATCTTTTTCCATTTCATGATACCCCTGCTGTTTCATGCTTCAATAGATGTATTGTCAGCTACCATATTTGTGCATAAATTCCAGAATATACTTCTAATTCTAATTCATTAAATAAAAATGATAAAATATATAATAGAAATTATCCTAATTCACTACAATTTCCCCACCAAATGGAATGCACTTCTACATCTATATAACCTTGCATATACAGCCTCCATTTCTTCATACCCTTCTAATCACTATCTTCCATATAACACTTGCCTACTCTAAACAATGTCTACAACTTCTTTGATTAGCCAGCTGCATGATGGTACTGATAGGTGGAAAATTATCGTTCGAATCCACAGGAAGTGGAATGTTTTCCATAAATCAGCACCCAATGAACTATTCTGCATAACCATGATCTTAGTTGACGTTGAGGTGCCTTGTAATTTATATGATACTGTTTACTCATTTTAAATCTGTATAATGTTTAATGCTACTTCCATTGATCTCTCCATTATTTCTTGCCTTTCATAGATATGCCTCATTTTTTCTCACAGGGGAACAAGATTCAAGCAAGTGTCTTGAACAAGAGCCTTCATGATCAGTTTAGATCTTTCCCTTTGGAAGGACATGTTTACTTTATTGCCAACTTTGTGCTATCTAAAAATGAAAACCAATTTAGAGCAACCACTCATCCTTTTAAGATAGCATTCAGCCAGCAAACATATATAAGGGAAGATGCAGCGTCAATTCCTGACTTATTTTCATTCTTTCCAATATCCGAGATCAAGAAAGTCACTGACGAAAAAATGATTGACCATCTATTTGGTGAGTTTGCTCCATGCAAGTACTGTTTCTTATATAAGGTGTATTACATAAATATCTAACTCCAAATCCATTATTTTGCAGATGTCATAGGTTACTTGAAGAAGATAAGTAATCTTGAGGAGTATCGCAAGGATAATGAGACTAAGCACAAACTCCGCATGTTGTTGGTGGACAAGGAGTATGCTCAATTTTTCTTACATTTCTTTTCACTTTCTTTTGCCTATTATGACATTATGTTCAAGCACTTACTAAATATTGATGACCATCATTCTTGCATCTTTATTCTATAGTGATAATGATGTCGAGTTAGTTCTATATGATGAATGCTCTACTAATGCATACATGGCACAACTTGAACATAAAGAAGGCCCTATTGTGGTTGTTATCAATCTGTGCAGAATAGGCTTCACTGAAGATGGTAATGACAGTATTTGGTTCCTTCATTTTCTAACTTTGTATTTGTTCAATCATACTAATAAATTAAGTAACTTTATATTGTGACAGGGAGACCTCAAATATCCAGCTCTTTTAATGCTACTAGGGTTCTTTATAATTTGGCCATAAAAGAGGTGAAGGAGATGATGGATAGGTTAGTTTGATTAATAATTTTGTGGGTGTCGACCTAAAAGAATAAT